ATCCATTAAATCGCAAGTTTCACATTCGGTAATTTACTAAAAGCTACAGAATTTTTCTTTACAATAATTGTTTAACGAATTTTATGGAATTGGTTATTTAATAATAAATAATACGAATAAATTGATTTACAATAAAATTTGACGAATCTTTAACTTCAGTGTTTTCTTATTTTACTTATATGTCATTATTATTTATTGATATTAATTAAAATTAATTAAAAAATCGGTTAAAAATTGTCAAAAAAGTTTTAAGTCGATCGTTGTTATTAATAAAAATCGATAAAAAAGAAGTATTGGTCGATTTATGGTTTTTTTTTATGTTACAGCTCAACCAAAAATTGACCAAAAATCGACCAGTTGATTTATGCCGAAATTTTTCTGAATTTTGTAATTAGCCGAATGTGTGACGAATCACGTGACGACGATGACGAACTTTTGATGAAAGGTATTAATGCCGAAAGAAATGATTTCGACCAGTGGATACTCTAGAGCAATCAATGACACATCACCACCAAACTCGATTTAAAGCAGCAGCAGCATCAACTATTCAGCTGGCACAAGATATTCTTAAAATAATGAAACAGACTATTTATAATTCCTTGTTTGTCTATTAGAATAAACCCATAATAATTGGTCTTTTAGCATTTCTTTTAGATCCGTGTCTAAAAATACTCTCTAACTAGGATGAAGAAACACGCAACAAGGCAAAAACAGAATTAATGCATCAATTTAAAAAATTAATTGATTTAAATTTGGTACAATCATCACCATCTGGTAGCTTAAGCCAACAACAACACCATAGTCGATTGCACTCTTCTATTTTTGGTGTGTAGGTGACAGCAAATCCCTTTTCTGAATTAGAAAGTTATTTGGATCCTATTCGTACACTAATAGCTGATCATAACGTGAATCCTTTTGAGTGGTGAGCAATTCGGAAAACTCAATTCCCTAATGTTGCTAAATTAGCTAGAAAATATTTAACTATTCCCGGTTCATCAGTACCCAGTGAAAGATTATTTTCTGATACGGGTAACTAAATTACTGCAAAACGTACACGTTTAGATTCAAAACTGGGCGGGTAAAATGATATTTTTAAAGAGAAATTCAAATGCAATTCATATATTTTAGTTGGAGTATTTTTCACAATTGTAAATTGAAATTTAAATAAAAACTCCTTAAATCTGTTCCAAATTACAATTTACTGTATATAATATTGTATGATAATGTATGTAAATCAAATTACTAAAATAATTAATTAAAATATTAAATACATAATAATATGCAATAATTTTATTAATTTAATTTAATAATTACGAAATAAATACATATTAAATTTTGTTCGTTAACAACAAATCCATTTCAAATACTGCGCCAATAAACCATCTGATTTCAACCACACTGGTCGAAATAGTTCAAATCGGCTAGAAATTGGATGTCCGATTTTAGGCTGAATTTGGTGATAAAGATGGCCGATTTATTAATTTAGGCAAAGTTCCGATTGGCAGGCCGATCGATGCTTATCAGAATATCCAAATTGTATCTGAATTGCTTAGTATTTTTGATCCGAATTGTTTAAAAAAATATATTCATAAATTTACTGAATTGCAGTGAATTTATTCTGAATTNATTTATCAGATTTATCAAATAAATCAAGAAAATCAAGAAAATCGAAAAAATCAAGGGATCTACCAAATGATCTACAAAATTGATCTACATAAAATTACTGCATCACATTTCTATTTTAACACTTTCCCCCTTAAAGAACGAACTCCTGTGAGTCTTTAAATTTCCAATACCAATTGCTTAATTTCATTTTGTTTTAAAGATCTTATCAAATTAACAGTAGTATTACAGCTATTTTCTAAATTATTGACCCCCCCCTGTTATTTTTAAAAAATTTTTCAGACGCAGTCAGACGCAGTCAGACATAGTAATTCGGGCTAACTTATAGTGCCGGCCGGAATTATGAGTCATGTGGTTACATAAATTCCAAAAAAGGAAATTTTTGAATTTGCAAAAATCACAAAAAAGGTATCGCCAAAAAAGGAAATAACATCGTGTTAATTTTCCTTTTTGGGCGATACCCATTCCACAAAAAAAATATTTTTTGTGATTTTTGCAAATTCAAAATTTTCCTTTTTTGGAATTTGTGTAACCACATGACTCATAATTCTGGCCGGCACTATAAGTCAGCCCGAATTACTGTGTCTGACTGCGTCTGATTGCGTCTGACTGTGTCTGAAAAATTTTTTAAAAATAACAGGGGGGGTCAATAATTTAGAAAATAGCTGTAATAGTACAATAAATTTGAATAGGATTTGTCTCGAAGATATAATAAACACGAACAGAAATCCAATAATAATGTTCTGAAACCATTTGTCTAACTTGCTTCTTTGTCAATTCTTTTTGTTCAATAAGCTATCCTAAGAAATATGCAAAAACTAGAGCTGAAATTCTTTGTTTTAGTCGTTGAGCTCGTAATAAACATCGGTAAGTCACATGAATTTTTGTTTTATCATCCATTTCATCTGAATAAGGTTCGTCTTGTAATTTGTGAGAACTATTTCCTTCAATTAATAGGTCTTGTAACACAATTTCGTAAGGCATCATGATGAGAAAAAGTGAATCATAACAAAATAGAACGCGTCTTTAAATAAGAATTTCATTGTCGCACTTAATTAATTAATATTATTAATGATCAACTACTAATTTCAGTAGATCGTGACATTATTGTTCCACTAATTTAGTTTGATTGATTTTACCCCTTAAATTAGTTAATCGCATATTACTATTTTGAAACATTTCTCCTTATTCTAAAAATAATTTTTTCTTCTCCTTAATTATTTCCACGTGTAATTATTATCAGCTGTTATTGAATTTTTCGCGTTATTTTTGTTATTTCGTTTAGAGCATATTTTCTCACGTCATGTCTTTTTCTTATTTAAGAACCTAATTTTTCCTTTCCCCTTGTTCTTCACTTCTCCGCAAAATCTTTTTGCATATATCACCTTTATTAAAACTTACATATTTTTCCTAACATCTTTATTATTAAAATGGGCTGCCATCGATCAAAAACATCCCAAAAAAAATTACAAGCTCGCTATAAGGTCCTAAAAGCTGCTCGTAAATCACAACTTCGTCAACTTGAGGGTGAGTATCACTAGTCGAAATAAGGCAAATCGGAAGTAAGGCAAATCGGCCAAATTTCAGCCAAATTTTGGATAAATTTTGGATATGATCAATAATCGGCTGACATTCAGCATAACTGATTTGCGGTGCAAAATTCCGATTTCAGATATGATCGATAATTGGCTGCATATCAGATAACATTCGGCATAGCCGATTTGCGGTGCAAAATTCCAATATTTATTTCAAATTCCGATATTTGTGCATTATAATATTTCGACATTCCGATAATTATATTATATGTAAATTTGACATTTAATAATTCCGATATTTGTATTGTATTGTTTTAACATTTAATAAATTTCGATATTTGTATTATTTGAAATTTGTATTATTTTGAAATTTAAACAATTCCGATATTTGTATTATTTGAAATTATATGTCATTTCATCAAAATAAAGTTCGAAAAAAATACTAATTTCAGCGAATATGAAATTTTCTATTGACTGGATTTACCGCTAAATAGACGTTTTAACTTCTCCTGCCTGAAATTCGGTATTTCGTTGGTATAAATCGGCCAAGAATATGATGAACTGGAATAATACATTCGCGGGATTCTGGGTAAAACTCGGTACCCCATAATTCAACATTGCATATTTCGTCATCTCTAACTCTGAAATGATACCGAATATTTGATGATTCTGCAGGTTTATACCAGCTAATAAATGCTAGATTATGTTCGGATAACCCATCTGGCAAATTAACGGCATGTGTAAAAAAGTATTGGACTTGTCCAGGATAGCA